CTGACATGCTCCAGGGAAAAGTTGGAGGATGGGCGAAGCAGGAAGGACAGACTCTTGATAATTTCTGAAGCTGAGTAATGGCCATGTGGGGGCCCATTACGCTCTTCTACTTTGTTTGGGTTTAACAATTTTTATAATAAAAAGTTTTAAAAAAATAAATCAAGCATGGCAGAGATACAAAGGTCTTGATTAGTACCGAATTCCAGAAGTTCCTCTTGCAACAGAAGATTCTAAGCTGGGCCCTAGTGCCATGCAGCACACCTTTGTCCCCGAAGGCCCCCTGACCTGGAATCCAGCTTCATTCTGAGGAGAGAAGTCACTAAAACTGCCCCCCAGAAGAGGCTTTGGGTTAGAATTCATCTGGCTCTTAAAAGAGTATTTGTAGAGATGCACTTCCGTGCTGTATCGATTAGCTTTTGCTATGCAACAGACTATCCCCAAACTTAGCGGTTTAAAGCGAACATTGCTATTTCTCACGATCCTGTGTGGTGGCTGGGATTCGGGGCTGACCTGACTGAGGCCACATGGTGTAGGATGGCCTCACTCGAATGCCCGGGGCCTGGGCAGCACCTCCTATAGGAGGCTAGCTAGGAATTGTTTACGTGATGCCAAGAGAGGACAAGCCCTCAGGCGCAAGGGCATTCGGTGGGTTCACGGCAAGTCACATGACCATTCCCAGATTTAAGAGGTGGAGAAATAGAGACTCCTTTGCAGATTGGATTAGTACTGAATGGGAGCCGAGGGTGCTAGACAGTCTAACCCAGCCCACCTCTCGGATTGAGATTGACTTCACAGATGTGGCCAAGAGTGGGCCAGGTGCTATTCATGTGTCCCAGGTCTAGAATCCTCTTTCCACGGGTGGAACAGAGGTGGGTGAAATATAGATCCTGGGCTGACGAAATTAACCAGAATAAATTGCTCCCTTTTTTTGTCTCCCTTTGTCTGTGGCCTAAGCTCAGTCTTACTTTTCTTCCACCTCCCATTGAATAGAACATCTGTGACTCACTCTTTGTGGCTGCTCCTTGTCCCTCCCCATATTCTCAAAAGACAAAGTCCCTTGATTCACAGGAGGAAGACGGAGTTGGGCGTGTGGCCTTGAGCCAGCTTTCTCCCCCGTGATCCCCTGTCTCCTCATCGGGAGGATGCGAGGGTTCCATGGAATGTCTCTGAGGCCCTTGGGATGCAGCCCCGCTTATAGGGAAGTGCTGGAATGGTGCAGGTGGGCCAACGCTGTGTCCCCTGGGCTTCAGGTCAGGCCTGGCCACTTTGGGGAGAAGAATGCTCTGTGTGAGTGTAGTAGATGTTTTGCAAAAGTGGCCCCAGTTCTTCCCTTTGGCAATGATGTTTTGCAGTCCCTTCCGTCAAGAAGTGGAGTCTTTCCCTGCCCACCCAACCCCCATCCGCCTTGACCTATAGAAAATGGGGCAAGTGATGGTGTGATGGTTTTGTGCCTTGGCCTTAAGGGGTCGTGACTCATTCGCTCCCTTTCTTGGGATCCTGACTCTGTCATGAGAACGAAGCTAGACTAGCCTGCTGGAGGTGAGTCATCCCATCTGAGGCCAACTCAGACCAGCAGCATCCTGACGACCCACCAGCGGGAGCGAGCCTCGATTCGTGAAAAATAAGAAGTGACTGTTGTTTTTGGCGACAATAGATTGGGGTGGTTTGTTACTCAGCTGACAAAGTGGGCGCCTGGGCGGTGCGTATCCAGAGCGGAAACCTGCATCTCCTCTTCAGGCCGAGGCACAGGCTCCAGGGTTCAACTGCCGGAGTCCAGTTCAGGTTCCTGTCTCCATCCTTGCAGGTGGAATGTCTTGGTTCTCAGGCAGGTGGCTCTGGAAAGGAAGGAGCTGTGAAGGTCCCAGGGGGAGCAGGTCCTTGCTGCCCAACCTGGATAGACATGGCCACACAGTTTCAGCACAGAAATGCCTTTTTTCTTTTTTTTTTTCACAAGTTTAGATTTATTTTTTTAAATCAGAGTGACACCTCTACCTGAAATAAAGAACCAAATTGTTCAACAGGACTCTGCTATGAATATCAGCAGGCTTCCATCTTCTCCCTTCTCCCCATTTCCTGCTCTGCAGACACAGGACTTTTAACTTTTTTTTTCTTAAAGCAATGTACTTTTTTAATTCAACCAAATGGCACTCATCCTGCTGCTGCTTCATTTGCTGTTGACTTCCCACTATGGAAGATTTAGCTCCTTGTCACCTGCCTCCCTCCTCACATCCCTGCACCCTCCCTAACTCCTTGTCCTCCCAGCATCCTTAAGTCATGAGTCTGTTAAATTAATGTTCACTTTTTGCTTGCTACGGTGACTTTGAGAATGCTATTCACACCGGAACTGTGCAGAATAATACTCCAACTTTTACTTTCTTGTGCAACTCTTCCCTGCGTGGGCTTCCTAATGATGGCTCCAAGCCCCGGGGTGGAGTGGGGGTGGGGTGAGAGAAGCATAGTCTCAAATTCTTCACCCTCCCTCATCAGAGTGGGGGCAGGCACGCCCTGGGCTCTCCAGTCTGGGGCAAGGCAGGTCCCCCGCAGGCACGGAGGGGCCCTCTAGGGCATCTGTGAGCAGCCAGGGTTCCTCTCTGCTCTTTCCCACTGGCCTCTGGCTCCTGTGTCATCAGGCAGCTTCTACTTTGTGCCCTTTTTGGCTGTCACACGTTCCCACCCACCCCCACCCCCACCCCATTTCGGTGGGGCTCAAGGGATGGGTGTGACCACAGAGAAAGCCCAGGTTCAGGATGAGGTTCGATGGCATGAAAGCGACCGTGGGCCGATTTCTCACTTTCTTAGCTTCTCCATCGGGTCGGGTGGTCCGATGCGTGGTCCAGGGTGGAGCTCAGCACTGCGGCCTGTCTGGGAGATTCTGAGTGGGGAGGTTGCCAGGCGAGTTTTGCAGAGCACGGAGAGGGCGCAGAACCCGATTCTGGTGTGTTCATGTGGTTGAGAGGTCTGGGCTGAGGAACTCTTCAGCCGGTGGGAGAGAGGACAGGACAGGAGACCACTGCCTGGCCCCCTGTGGTCAGCACACAGAGCTCAGATGTTCTGAAGGGCTGCGGAGCATGCCGCCTGCAAGTCACAGACAGCCCTGAGAGACGGGGAAACTTCCATCCTCACCAAAACTTGCATGCAGAAGCCCGTAGTGGCTTCATTCATAACTGTCAAAAATCAGAAATGACCCAGATGCCTTTCAACTGGTACATGGACAAAGAAACAGTGATTTGGATTTGACGATACCGTGGAATACTACTCAGCCAGGAAAAGGAACAAATCACTAATACATGCAGGAGCCTGGCTGAATCCCAAATGCAGCATGCTGAGTGAAAGGAGCCTCACACAAAAGGCTACACACTGTGATTGTGGTGGTTATATGGCATCTGGAAAAGGCAGAATTGCTGGACCGAACACAGATGAGTCGTTGCCCGGGGCTGCGGGTGGGAGGAGGGTGGCCAGAGGGAATTTTCTGGGTGGATGGAAATGTTTTATATTTTAATTACTGTAGTGGTTATATAACCCTATGAATTTGTCGAAACTCATAGAATTGTACACTAAAAAAGGTACATTTCATTGAATGTAAACTATAAACCAGAAAAAAGCTAATGACAAGTTTCAGTTAGGGTAGTGTCCGAGGTGACGCTGTGATGGCAGGGAATTGCCACAGGGTGGGTCAGAGGAAGAGCTGAGACCCAGGGTGACCTCACGCAGGGGGTGAATGGGCACCCTGTGTTCTTTGCGTTAAGTCCCTGCCTGCCTCCTGGGACCCTCAGAGGGCAAGGACCAGCACTTCTGGTGTACTGTGGACGGATGGATGCCACAGTGGAGAAGACCCCCAAATTGTACCTACTTTCCCCTAATGCCATCAGCTCGTGGGCTTTTCCCTGACCGGAAGGGAAACAGAGAGAGAACAAGGGCATAGAACAGAACCAAGTCAGAGACTGGATCTCAGAGCTGGCTCTGTTGCTGGCCAGCTCAGCCTCTCGAAGCCTCAGTTTCCTCATCTGCAAAATGGGGACCTCAGAGTCTAGAGAGGGATAGATGACATGACTATCTGAGAGCCCGCGGCTTCGTGCCCAGCTGGCGAGGGCTTCCTAGAACGTGTGGGTGTTGCCTTGCAGGAGTGGCCACCAGCAGGCTGGGTTTAAATTCATGTTGCATTTCTTACAAGCTGTGTGACCTCGGATAAGTGTCTTAACCTTTCTGGGCCCTGCTTTCTTCATTGCTAAAATGAGATTTTTATGGCTCTATAAGATTGTTGTGAGGATTCAACGGATATAAAGGCCTTAACCCTGGGCCTAGCATGTAGTAAATACCCAGGAAGAGCTATCCCTTTATTATCAGAGGATTGCAAAATTTAGCAAATAAAAATATAGGACTCCCACTTAATTTGGAATTGCCGATAAACGAAGAATTTATTTTTTAGTATAAGAATGTCCCATGCAATATTTGAGATATACTAAAAAGTATTTATGACATAATCCTATTAAAAACGTGTTGTTTATCTGAAATTCAACTGGCTACCTGGTATTTCATCTGGTCACCCTGTTAAGAGAGGATGCAGATTTGGGGTCATAGGGGGATGGGACTAAGCCCGAAGGTGAGTGGAGGGGTGAATGATGTGCCTTTGTAACTTCCCTGCAGCCCGAGTCATTCAGATCCTTTACCTGCAATCTTACTCCTTCGGGATCTGGCTCACTAACCCACACGGCCCATTCATTCCTTGGTCCTGCTTTTGTTCAGGCTGCCAGCTGCTGTCACTGTAACTCACTTCTGGGCTGGTGTTGCCCTTTGGGTGTCCTGCAGTCATTTCTCATGTGTGAGCCCATATCGCCAAGGAGCCAGCCGCCAGGGCAGGGCCGTGTGCCTTCGGCCTTTCCCCGGGGGTGTCGGCCAGGCCATGGGTGCCGCGTGCACAGCAGGCTCTCCGCGCCTGTGGCTGATGGCTGAGTGGCAGCACTGTTCTTACATAATTGGTTTCTCTCCTCCTCTCTTTCCAGAGCCAGATTTCACACTGAGCAGCTGCAGACGGAGAAATCAGAGAAAGCGCAACCCAGCCCCAGATTCCGAGGGGCCTGCTGGGGACTGTCCTCCTGCTCCAGAGGGAGGATCGTGAGGCTGCTGTCTCGGGCCAGGTCCTGGCTGCCATGGGGCTCGCAGCTGCTGCCTCCCAGATGCCCGCTGCGCTGCCGGGCAGATAAGGGTGGCGCTGCCCGGGACCACCTGCTGCCCCCTGCCAGGCCGTCCTCCGTGGCCAGCCCTTCTCCTACTTTGGGCCACCTGTGCTGACCCGAAGCCATGTAGGCCCCACTTGGGCCTCTGTGGACAGACACAGCATCAGGGACGTTGCCTCTGCTCCCTGGGGGGCCCGGCGTACCATCATGCCCCAGGGATTCGCCTGGCTCCACTGTGAGTACTGGGGGGTCCTTGGGGGAGGTAGGAGCTCTGCCGTAACCATGACAACTGGTGAGAAGTTGAGATGCTTCCCACCCGAAGCCATGTAGGCCCCACTTGGGCCTCTGTGGACAGACACAGCATCAGGGACGTTGCCTCTGCTCCCTGGGGGGCCCGGCGTACCATCATGCCCCAGGGATTCGCCTGGCTCCACTGTGAGTACTGGGGGGTCCTTGGGGGAGGTAGGAGCTCTGCTGTAACCATGACAACTGGTGAGAAGTTGAGATGCTTAGTGCAGGCGTCCTCAGGGACTCTGACGCCCGCCCTCCACCCTGTCTCCCGCTGACCCCAGCTCAGGCGGGCATGGCGGACGTGAGTCTTAGGTTGGGTGGGCACAGTCAGTGGGTGGTCATGGGGATGGGACAGGCACTGGGGGGGTGGCACTACCTTCTCAGACCTATCAGTGCCAGGGAGTGGGTGGGGACAGAGGTGGCAGAGAGAGGATTTCCGGCCTCCCTGAGTGTGGCCAGCCAGCAGTAGGGGCTTGTGAAAATATCTGGACCCCAAAACACGTGGAGAAGTGCAGCCTGTTCCCTGTGCCCCTCCCTCTGTAAAGAACAAAATTAAAAGGCAGAAAGAGAACAGTGTTATTGATAAAAAGAAAAATAAGTTGAAACGAGGACAGAAAAAAAAATAACCTAGAAGCTAGAAGCCTCACAAGCCTGCTGGTAGGAGGCCAGACCAAGATTCCTCAGACTCTGAGATTCAATTTAATTGAAATTCAACATGTTTCCGGTGCCTCTCACGTGCCCACTGAAGAGTCACTGCCCTGGCGACAAGGACCTGGGCTGTCTTGGGCCTTGCTCTTCAATGCCTGACATGGAGTTAGGCGCCAGGAACTCTGTGTGGGATGGATGAGGTCAGGGCTTGATCCTGAGAGGAATGCGAGGAGGCATTGGGTCCAGCCTCACCCCTGTGGAGGGATCCTGCAGAGGGTCAGGGTGTTCAGAACTAATGGAAGGACACAGACCCAGTGTTCTGGAAGCTTCCAAGTCATGACGAGCAGGAGGGACAGGAGGAGCAGCTTGGGTGAGGTGCCACTTGGCATGGTCTTGAAGGTGGGCGGTGTTCACACAGGCAGCTGTGGGGAGGTGAGGACCATATTCCAGGTAAAGGCTCAGCGGTCGGACAGCGAGAGGCCAGGACGGAAAGCCGGTTGGGTGCAGATGGCTGAGGCCTTGGGAGCCAGGAAGAAGAGTCCCCAATTCATGAGACAACATGGGGCCCTAGCGGGTTCGTGATCTGATGTGGGGGTGAGGCTATGATCGGGAGCCGCTCTGCTTTCAGAAGGGACCGCTACTGCAACCTTCTAGACAGGAAGTCGCGAGGGCCAGCTCCGGAGGTGGACGTGAGGATGAGAAGCAGAGGGAACGAAGCCGGTGGAGGTGGATTGTAGGACGTGGCGAGGGTTGAGGGTTGGCCATGGGGTGAGAGACAGGAAGGGGATGCAGACCAGGGCGTGGCAGAGAGGTGGGGGTGCTGGAGAAGCATCGGCTGCCGTGACTGAGTGCCACAAGCCTGGTGGC